GGACCTTGAGAGGGGAAGAGGATTTGGCTGCAGTGGGGAAATGGGGCAGCTGCGGCTTTAAGAACAAATAGCTTTGTGTGCAGCACTCCTTGCTCGCATCTGCATTTTGGTGTATAATTTGAACATTTCACAAGAGTGCTTTCAGATGGTCCTGTGAATGTTTTATGAGTCACTAAGAAGTGGAGTGCTTATAAATGAAAGTCTGCAGCCGCCACTGCGTGGGAAGGGCACGGGTGCCTATTTTGGGCTGACAGAGTGATGTTCAACAAACGTCTTTTATTCAGGAGACCAGCGGCTGCTCATCACTGGTGCTTAACTGCTCACCCACCACATCTCTCCTACCAGCATTGCTCCCAATGTTAATGCAGCTTTGTTCTCATTTCTGCCACTGGCTGCGTGCAGATGCACACAAAAGTAGCACGCAGGCAGGTGTGCAAAGGGTTGATCTGAGGGTGAGAATCTCTGCATTTGGATATCTGTATCTGAGCCTGTCTCCTGGGGTGATGGTCACTGGAAAAGAACGAGCTCCTTTAGATCATAACCCATCTAACTTATTTTGCACATGTGTTTGAAAGGGTATGAATTGTGGCCTGCCGGGACTGCTTTCCCCACATGTACTAGGAGGGAAGCCTGCAGTGACTTGCTCTGATTTAGATGCACATGTCCGAATTTGGTCAGCATTCATCAGCTGAGACCTTTCAACAGTTTCCAAGCATTTGTAGTCTCACAAGTGAGTTGCGACAACTCATACACCATGCAGTCAGGGAGTGGAGGTTATGCACAGCTACCTGTGGGCTGCAAGGAGGTTGAAGTGCTTGTCTATAAGTGCATTCTGTAGTGTAAAACCTAATGACTTTGCGACAGAATTAATGGAGAGAAGTGTAACAAAACAACTATAAGGAACAGGGAACCACTTATATCATCTGGACGCAGGATGCAGGAATTGCTTCACTTCACAGACTTTTCATTACTTGCTCCAGTTTGCCTTGTCTTTTCCTATTCCTGCCTCTGGTCCTTTATCTTCCTGTCTCCTATTGTCAAATTTTTCAGCTCCTGAGACAAGAGAGGCTTCCCTGAAGCTGCTGCCACCAGGAAAAATGTTTCCTGACTCTTCACCACCTCCTTAAGTGGCAGCAGAAAATACCTCTTTCTTCCTTAACGTCTGTGTGTTTTCCTTTGCTGTAACCAAGGAATGTACCTTACAACATATTTTAGGAGATGTTTGGGTGGAAGACATTCTGCCAAACAAGATGAAGCTGATGATGAAGCTTGGAGAAGGGTGCTGCTAACAATCCCCAGCCTCCTCACTCACTTCATTTTGGAGGGAAGTTGAACTGTAGCTGATAGTGAGAAGTGAGAGCCAGACAGTGTTTGCAAACCACGTATAGAGCAGCCATCCACAATGGAGTGTGCTTGGCCAGGCTTTGGTTTTTGTTGGATGGTAACACTGAACAAAAGTGGGTTTGCTCCTTTGTATGAGGTGATGTGCACAAGCATAACACAAGGACTGTATTTCTTCAGAAGAATTTAAAGTGCCATTTTTTTTCACCAATCTTGTACCCTTCTGTTTCTTCCCCCACCCCCAACTCTTTTCTTGCCAATTGCAGGTACTACATGAGCCCCTGATTGATGAGGATCCTGTTTTCATTGCCACATGCACAGAGAGGGAGCTGCGCAAGAGGAAAAAGAGGAAATTCAGTCTCTGGGTTCGGCAGTGCTCATCCACTGGTTTCATCTGCCAGGTGGGTTTTACCTTTTCAGATGTCTTGATTCAGTTCCAGCAGGCCCTTAAATGCATTGCAGGACCAAAGGTAACTGTCACTTCTCTCCATTGCCTTGGTGGAGGCTGCAGTCTGAATGCAGCAGGTCTCTGACTCCCACAGATACTGGATCCAAAGGACAGTGATGACAAGTTCCTGATGCACTGTTTGCTGGATGATTTAACTGAGGGTGCCTGTCTCTGATACTGTCCATCTGTCTGTGAGCCCCAAGCTAATTAAATTGAAACAGAGCTGAAAGGTCTGTCTGTCTGTACATTCTAAGTTTATCTAGATGTCTAGCTACTGCGACTTCTGTCATTTTTAATGAGTCGGCTTGTCTCGCTAAGTATAATGCTGCATCTGTGATAGCCAGTGGTGTCCAATAGACTAGATCAATACGGTATCGGGATGTCCGTTTTTCTGTGAGAGACTTATTAGTGAGGTTTCCTGTTACATCTCTTTTCACACCTCTACTTCTCTACTAAAGAATTGGATGTGACTTCAGGGTGAGTTATGAGCTTGAGTAGAAGGTATGTTAAAGAGTTTGTTTTTAGTATTGAGGACGACTCTTTGAATTCTCAGACGCCCCAATTACTGATGTATTTCTGAGTGATCTTAAAAAAATTGGCTGTTTATTTTGAGACCTAGAGGTGAGGGGGTACATATTTTCTGATACTGCTTTTTCCTAAGAGCTTCTGTCAGAACATGGTGTCCTGCATGTTGCAGAGCAGTGGTTCAGAGGTACAAGTAGGACATGCACACTGGCCTCTTAGGCTGAATGCATGTCAAAACTGCAGGGCCTGTGGATTTGCTGCAGTTGAACATTTGTTCACAGTAAAATTTGATCAGTGAATCACTACGACTGTTTGAGTAGCTGTGCAAGAAAAGAGGCTTGCTGGGAGCAAGGGTTTGCATTTTCAGCAATGCTATTCACCCTAAGAATAAAACTAGGGTCATACATCTTCCATCCAGGCTTTAAAGCAGTTGTTTTGTCCAATACAAAACAGATTCACCTTGTGAACCATCCTTGGAAGTTCTCACTCTCAAGGCTTTTGGAAAGTTATTTGCTATGCAGAGGCAGTATCCTAAATCTCCAGCGTGAACCCCACCAGTCCCACACACAGCTTATTACTGAAGCGTAATGGGTACAGTGAGCACAAAGTTTGCTGGGCTCTCTTACCATGCTCCCCCCAGCCAACTGCCCCCAAACTCTTAACTCTTCAGACATGCCAGAGGTTTCGGATTCTGAGCCATAATTACGTTGCACTTGTTGTCCTGTCCAATGAGAGTAAATTAATGGAATGTCAAATGAAACGGAATAGATGCTCATCACCACTCTAATCCTCCTTCTCCCTTAATGAATTAGATACTCATGCCTCACTTGCATCCTGATGACGTCCAGGATCATCTTACCAGCTGCCTTCTATTTTCATTCCATGACTTGGCTGTAATTATCATCATGCTAGAATGATTGAGTGAGAGGGACCGTAGGGAGGGGTGAAAAGGAATATACAAGAACATGAACGTTCATGCTAAAATGGAAAAATCTAGTCTGGGGAGGATGGGAATCTTCAACTATGGCTTGTTTGAAATACTACGTTCAGTTATGTGTTGCACTTATGAGGGACCTTGCAGAATCAAAAGCACTTATTTGGTGATTGTTTGGTTTATTTACTGTATTAAAACAGAGGGGTTTTTTTCCTGTATTTAACATATGGAGAGAATTGGTCTGAACAAGAAGAAAATCCAATGTTTTCTCCCTTCATACTTTGGGAGTACGTACTACATACTTTGCCTCCATCTCTTGTGAAACTGCCATCATGAAGGAGGGACTTGCCTCGTAGTTAGGGACTATCACCTGTCTGCTCTCAGGAGAACCTTGCAGCACCCACTTGGAGATATGTAGAAATTCTGTAATACTGTCTGGATGAACAGTGTCACCTTCAAGGAGGAAATTTCCTTCATTTTTTCCACTTGATGACACTGAAGTAATTTTATTGAGGATAAAATATGACTAGAAACACTTTCATAAATCAGGCTAATTCAGTTTTAAAAGTCTGAATATCACGTAGCTATAAAAAGGTGAGGCTGCCCAGACAAAAGAGGGAAGAGAGTTACGTATGACTGGCTCTCAGTAATGAAAGGAACCTCAGGAGGTCTGTTATGCTTCTGCCAAAAAGCAAGGTCCTCTAAACTTGAATTATGAGCCTGATGTTAAAAAAATCTCCATTTGAGGACATCCCAGTTTTCCCAGTGATCTTCTTTTCCTATGATGAAAAGAGCTGGTTGGTTTGTTTTCCTAATGTAAAACTGGTATCAGTCTTTTGAAGCCATGTGCTGAGCTACTCTGTGAAAAAGTCCTGGTTGGCAGCTCACAGGGCAGTTGTTAATGTTGGGCATTTTAGCTGTTCGACTCCCTATATTCCTCTGTCTGCTGCTTTCTATGAACAAAAGTGAATCACTTTTTTTGTGCATGAGTAAATACTTCTGTTTGATGGCTTATCACTTGCTTTTTTAAGCAAATGGTGTTTGGTTAAAAATCCAGCCCAGTAAACAATTCATGGAACACAGGTGGCATAAAAAACAAATAATGCTTGTGGGCATAAGGTACATAGGCTTATATATGCATAATATAAATACTGTGTGCATAAGTTAAGTCTCTGTTTTAAGATGGATGCACAATTTTTCAGATCATCTCTCTGCTTCGGAATTTCTCAAGCAAAGCATCTTGTTGCAGTGAATAGCTGCTTTGCTGAGTGTCTTTTCACGGTCAGCTGGCCAAGTGGGAACATGCAGGAAGGACAGGTCATTCAAAGACAGTTAATACACGTCTACAGCAGCTGGGAACATGAACAAAACCTTTCCAGGGGTTAGAAGAGCTCCAGGAGGGCTGACTTTGGCAAAGTAGGCAGGAAAAATGCTCTGATACTCTTGCTTTTTTTCACCCATCCTTGATGCTGGAAATCAAGGTGGCAGCAGCTGCTGCTGCAGCACGGGGCGTGGATCTTTCTCCTTCCTTTCTAATTCAATGAGAACAGCAAACTCAGCTTACAGGACCTCAGGTATCCTTCTCTGCTCCATCTTCTCTCTGCTTTCCTCATTTCCCTCCAATATTTTCCTGTACATGTGTGTTACTAATAAGACACTTTTCAAACCAATATTTTAATATTATGATTGCAATTTCAATGACCACAGGAGCATAGAAGTGTTTCTTTCCAAGAGTATTTGCCTGAGTAAGTCACCTTACTTAAATCAAAACTCTAGTTGTGTCAGTTTTTCTTTCTCTCTTTTTCTCTCAAAAAGTCTGGAACGCTTGCTTGTAAAAGATGTGCATAAATATGATTGGTAGGACTCTTTCATTTGATATAACACTAGAGCTCATGAAGAACTGCCGAGAGTGCCCAAATACTTGATCAGAGCTAATTATTTTGTCCTGGTAGGACACCTTGTGCTATCTCTTTCCTTCCCTTGTGTGGCTCATAAGGAATAAATGTGGTCACGAGTAACTTGTTACTAAGTGGTGCTTAGTCCTTGCACAGCTTTCCCTGCACGAGAAGGTGTTCTGATCATTTTGCAGAAGGATAAGGAAGCACAGGAAGTTGGTGCCGTACACTGAACCCCATGGGGAGTCAGGCAGGATGAGGTATTCCCATAGTGCTTCATCCTGGACCACAAGCCTGTGGCACAACCATGACCCTAAAGACAGTCCTTGACCCAAAGAGCCATCAGTCAACAAAATGGAAGGCTGTACACGGGTGGTAGAGAGCACGGCAAAGGGACAGTCAGGCAATATTAATCACTCTGATAGATGATAATGGAATTAGCACATCAACCTAATTATTTGCTTAAAAAAACCTGTGATATCATGATGGAGAAGAGATGACTTTATGAATGTGTATATTCTTTCCTATTCCTTGGGATGAAATTTGTTCTCTGAGGCTATCCTGGACACTCTGCCCTTCCCATACCCCCTCACCATCCCCAATTATATGGGCTCTGCTCTTTCTTTTATTCACTGATAGAAAGTTCTTGCAATAATGCATTTCATTTTCATTAATATGCCTGTGAAATGTGTCACTAAGATTTATGAAGTCCTTCAGATCCTTGTGCTGCGGCTGAATTTGAGTTTCCACCTTCCACTGCTTACTCTGAAGAAGAACAGATTAAGGAAAAAGACTGTGTCTCTGCAGCTTGAGATACACTACAGTGATACTCAAGGAGTGCAACCTGGATCGGGGTGGCCTCGCCATGGGAGGGTAATAAATTACTCTCTTCCTGAAAAGCAGTGGTCTCAGTGAGGTGAGATCTCAGAGGTTGCTCCACAGATCAGTGGCAGAGCTGGGAATAACCTCACTTCATCAGACTCAAACAGCAGTGCTTCATCTGCTCCTTTCTGTTGCTTTTCCTGCTGTACCATGTCTTCTTTTCTTACGATAGCTCTCAGTTGCAGCAAAGAAGAAAACAGTGTAAACATCATGCTTTTTTAGTAAATGCTGTAGTTCATTTTTAATTTCAAACAGGGTAAGTCCAATCAGCTCAAATAACTTCTTACTCCACAAAACCCTGTGTGGGTTTAGAGAATTTAGGGAAACTGAGATGGTGCCCCAAAGAATTTGTAATTTCACAACACACCACATAAGTGCATTCAATCACTGGGAAAGAAAGGGTAAATAAGCTTGGAGTGAGTTTTGTTTTCAAGGTCAGAGTTGCAGGAAAGTTAGCCATCTGTGCATTTGTTTAATAAAGCTGCTCAGAGATGCTGGTGTTTCAGCCTATTGAAGTTCTGTTTAGAGATTAGCCTGGGCCCTCGGGTTTCTTTGAACAGTGCTCTGGTAATTTCTCTGTTGCTGGAACAGTTGCATCTGGAATGCACAGATGTAGCACCTGCTTTGAGGAGGTTCTCAAGGTCAGGCTTTGGCTGGGAGGGGAGTCCCAGGAAATCTGATCACCTTCCTTTCTCAGTCACTGGCAGCTGGAAAATCCTATCTGCCTTCTTCCTCTGGCTGCCACCAGGCTCTGGCTTTTTAATGCATGTAGTTCTTCTGTGTTGT